ATGACATAAATGTAAACCACAGAAAAGCTGTTCAAAATGACCCTCTTCCTTACGAATCCCTCCAGCCTCCGGAGCCCCCTTTCAGAAAGCAGTCTTAACAAACCCTGGATTAACGCAGATACACTGAGTCAACTTACCCCGCTCTGTGATACTCGGGATTTTCGGTTTCAGAACAGGTGATATCAACTGGGTAATCAATCCCGAGTGAAGTTACCCCTGAGTTAAGTTGGAGCAAGAAGCCCTCATCAGTGGAAGCCAGATAACATGATTCATCATGGAAATGGGAGAAAATAAGAAGAACGGAAGTCCAATTCTCACGCTGAAACTAAAAGTATCAATGACGGCATATGGAGAATATCAACATATATTTAAAAAAATTTTTAAAAATACTGTTGCTGCTGCAAGAGAAAGAGAGTTATGCTACGTTCACACTGAATGCGTTTCGAGCTGCAGGAGCAGCGCAAAGTCTATGGTGGACGCGCCGTGAGACCCCTAGAGGCGCGTCCACAATAGATTTTTTTCATGTAAACCATTTAGCGCATCATGCAAGGATGTGGAAGGTGCGATTGAGCATTTCCCGTGCATGCAGCACGTCCAGAGCAGCCGACGCTCGAGCTCAAAAATCTAAACTTTTGCTGCTCAACTTGCCACGTCAACCAATCAGAGAGAATCATTTTTACAGGTGAAGGTTTCCTGAAAGTTGCTCACAAACAGATGGACAGGAGCTCTTCAGCTGGAATTGACCGTCTGCGTTTGGTGTTCTTGCAGGAGATATCAGCACTGATGTGGGTCAGCAGCTCGTTAAACTGACCACGGTACTAAACAGACATGGCAGCAAATATTAAAGCAAAGATTAAATATGAAAACATATTAAAATCAGGTAAGGTCCAGGTATGAGCTCTTGTGTTCAACCTTTAACAAATAAATTACATAATTCACTAGCTTCCACACACAAAATTATTGTGACATAGATTTCTGCAGAGTTTTAGCGCTCCAACATCTAGAGGCTCATTTAGAAAAGGACACTCTGTCTGACACTGTCGTCGTGCAGCTCTCAGCTAAAAAGTGAAACAAACTCAGGATTTGTTCAAGTAATCCTGCTGCAGAGCAGGGTTGGTTCACCGAGTAAATTGTGGGCGTAAGTTAACTCATGATCACTGCTATCTGGCTTTCTGAGACAGAAAACCCAAGATATACACATAGTTACCCCAGAACTTACTCAGGATTTCCACTTATCCTGCTTTCTGAAACAGGGCTCTGCTCTGTATATATAT